AAATGGTAACATACTAAAGCTACTCTTCTGTAGTGTTACAGTACAAGCACCCAGTCTCCCACCTAGGACTTGGCAAAGGCCACAGCCAGGTAAGGGCAGGGCAGGCATTTGGCCTCTGAGCTCTACATCCAGTGCTGGCTCTCCATAGTGCCCTTCAACTTACCCACAGCAGCCCCAAGGGAAACTGGAGCCCAGGATTGGCAGCGTGGAATCAGGGGACTCCACTGGACTCTTACCAATAAGTTGATAGTGTTACTCAGTTCACTGGTTGTGATGGAGCTCGAGTCCAGGGCTATTTGTAGTTGGTGTCCACTCTGAGGCACCTGCAGAGAGGAGGAGTTGGGGGATGATTGGGGGAGAGGTAGAGAGAACGATCATTAGGGTTGGGGTGTGTGGGGGCTGTCTCAGCTGGCAGAGGGGCACCCAGCCGCCACTGTGGGAGGAGGGTGGAGGGCTGGCCTGCAGGGTCACTGTACCTCAGCTCAGGGCCTCTTACCTCTGGATCTTTCGTGGTGGCACATGGCGCAGGGCCCTCCTTGGGACCACCTGCTGCTGACTGCAAGAGATGAGAGTGCACATGGAGATGTTGTGTCCCCTCAGTGTCCAAGTCTCTGACTTCCTTTCCTCCCCATCAGCTGGCAGCACTTCCTGTTCTGCCTCTCCGACCCTTTGTCCCATAACTCCTCTGTGCCAGCTCCTCTCACGGTGCTTATCTCCCACTATCCCACCCTGGGGCCCTTTCAGTGACTCTTAAAGGGACAGCCTGACAGCAAAAGGCTGTTCTCCTTGGGCTGGCTTCCTCTTGAGACTGGGGATGAGGAAAACCAAACAGCAAGGACCCTTTCCTGGGTGTCCTGGCTGTTTACAGCAGGCCATGTACCAGGGATTAACAAAAACACAACAGCAATAACGAATCTCATTTCACCTTCACAAATGGAAGTCAGACAATACCACCTCTATTTTACAGATGTGAAAGGAGAGGCCCAAAAAGCTCCAGCAACTTGCGCTAAGTCATATCCCTAGCAGATGGAGAGGCAGGATTCAAACCCAGAATTCCTAACCAGTACCCAGAAGTTCTTCCACAATCTTAACAATTCCCCTCTACTGCCCCTTGGGCCCCTTTTCCCCAGAAGCCTCGCCAGCCAAGGCTCACATGGCATGGTGACTGGCAACCATCAGAAGTGCCTGTCTCAGGGCTATTGTTGTTTCTTTTCTTTCTCCGTCTCACTCGTGTTGGAACAGCAGGGCTGTTTCTTTGTTGAAATTCTGTTAACTGTGAGAAAAAAGAGCAGTATTACTCATGAGAACTACAACCCCCTACCATCACAGCCTACATTACAGTTTTTACAAAATACTGTTACACACCATCTGATTTAATGCCACCAACAAATGTACAAGGTGTGGTCACAATCACTTAGTGACTGAGAGGGATTGATATCATGGCAAAATTTAAAAAATTAAAAAAAAAAAAGAAAAGAAGACGAAAAAGCAATACTAGAGCTTAAACTTATTCCTCTGACTCCAAGCTCTGGGGTTTTGCCGTGAATCAGCAACTGCCAGAGACCAGAACCACAGGCAGAGGTAGAAAAGTCAACATGAAGTAGACAGGAACTGTACGCCATGTGGTTTAGAGTCATACAGCCTCACACGTCTGTTAGTGTTAAGAAGAGCACCAGCACCTCTCACACTTTTACATCAATGTGTCCTCATGGCAGAAGGCCGCCTTTCTGTTAAATCTGGGAATTCATCAGAAAGAGGACAACCCAAGTCTCATTTCAGAGACAAGTCTGGTATACTCTTAGAAACCGATGTGACCGTCATCCCTAAGTACGTTAATGTTGTTGCTGTCTCAAGATACTCAAGGGAAACTGATGCTTCTGAAAGATGTCCCATGTTTATCCCATGGCATTCAAAGTAGCCTAAGTTGAGATGACATGAGGAAGATTCAAGCTGTCAGTTTCAATTTCCCAAGATCTGTTCCACAGAAGATGGCAGATCTCACTCTAGAGGCCACTGACTGAAGGGCAGTGGTCCCAGAACCATGGAGAATTTGAAGATGAGGTGGAGAACTCAGAAAGAATCGTGAAAGTCTCTCTGGAGAGCAGAAGCCTGAGAGAAAACCAAACCAAACCCATTCTCCCATTGCCACCCAGAGACACTGTCAACGTTTTGAGCTCACGAGGGAAGTGTAGGCTTTTCACACTGTCAATTTCTACGTTAAGGGAGTGAGGCAAATTTCCTTCCAGCTGGAAATTTGTGCTGGGACCAGAGGAGCCAGAAATGGGATGAGAATGCTTAGGGGACTGGGTCCTAAGATCGAAGGCTGGTCTTGTAGCAGTAATGACGGTTCCTAGGGAGACCGCGACATCACTACATTCCACTCCCCCTGGGGGAGGGGACCACATCAAGGAGGTGCCCGAGTCACTACTCCATGATGGGGGAGGGGGATGCAGGCTTGGGACCCAGGTCCTTGGAGACGCCAGCCCAAAGAACACAGGGAGGTCGCAACGGGGGAGCAGGAAGGGAGGGCAGAGTCTGCAGCAGGGATTCCCAGGAGTCACCAGCCCAAAGTCACCCAGAAATGACTGATGAGGGTGGGGACTGGAAGACCCGGGTCCTTAGAGACATGAGCCCACAGAGCCCAGGGAGGTCAGGTTTGGGGCAGGAAAAGGTGAGGCCCAAGTAGGGAGCGGGGAGCCTCAGGGGTTACACATCCAAAGTCACCCTGGGATGATTGGCAAGGGCAGCGGCTGGGCCCCTTGCTGAAGGGGTGGGGCTGACTGACAAGACATTGGTAGGGGGAGCCCAGAGCCACCGGTGATGGGGGCCAACCCAGTCAGGTGTGTCTCAGAAGTGCTATGGACTCTGGCAGCGGTCTTGCTGTCTGAGGGAATCTGTGTGCATATTACCTTTTTCCTAGCGGAAGCCAATTTCATCTTGCGAATTTCTTCTGACATCGCCATGGTGGGTGGGGGAGGGAGGAGCGGTTGGGGAGGGAGGTGGGGTTGGAGAGGAAGATGGGGTTGGGGCCACATCAGCACAATTCAAGGGAGCACTGGTAAGCAGCTCCACTCTCCTACCAGGCGGCTGTGTTGACTGAGCCAGAGGACGCGGTAACCAGGGCCACACTAGAATGTAGAATAGGGGCGTGGCCTTCGTGCTCCAATCCCATTGGTCAATGAAAAAGATGAAAGGGAAAGGAGGCGTGGCCAGGCAGCAGCAGCTCTGGAGGGACCTGTGGCATCCCAAGGAAAACTGCCCCTGCAACTCCTGTCCCCCCCCCACTCTGAGAGGGGAGGGGCCACCCACTCAGGGAGAGAGGGGGCACTGGCTTTTGCTTTTCAACCTTGAAATGTACCAAAGCATGCCGCCCTATTTTTGAAGAGGTGACCTTATGGGGAGATGACAGTGTGGGAAACAATCCTGCCTAGGCCGAGGCCTCATGGAGCCCAGGGTTCCCTAGGGCCAGGAGGGCACTGGAGCTCACCCTGACACTCATTGGAAACCTGAAATCCACACCTGCAGGAGATCAGGAAAGGGGTTCAGCCTCCAATGCACCTGCAGCCAGGTGAGGCAAGCACAGGTGGGCACCAAGCAGATCTCCTGCCTGACCTTCCTCTCCTGCCTCCCCCAAGCAGAGGAGAAGTGACAGCTGCCCATCAGCCCATTGCCTAGATTGAAGCCACTGAATCTGGATCCCAACAGGCCCAAGGCAGTCCTGTCTCTGATGAGGACCTGGCAGACAGATGTGATGTTCCCAAGAGGCTCTATAAACCTTATTGTGGATAATCAAGGAAATGGGCAAGACCACCATGCTCTGCCAAGAACCTGGCAGGCACCAGGGAAACCAGGGGCAGACAGAAGTCAGTTTGGGTCCAGGCCTGTCCCAGGAAAGGTGGTGGACTGGGGGCAGCCACAGTGAAGGGGAACGGATGGCCATGGGCTGTGTGGCCAAGGCTGTCATCTCCTGTAGAACCTGCAGAATATCCGGCCAGGCCTGGCTCTGCACTCACGCTTGTGCCTGGAGCCACAGGTGCCTGGACAGCGGCCTAAAGGAGGGATGGTGGAAGAAAAGGCACTTGTGGCCACATGTGGGCACCTAAGCATGGGACAGAGGGGCATCGTGCCCCAAAGAGATCATACAGGCCAAGAACTCAAGCAGATGTACCCCCTGGTCCTGGGTCACATCAATTAAGTCAGAGCCTGTCCTGACCCTGAAGCTGCAGCTCAGTCTAGTTGAGACTCATAAAGAGATGTCAGTGCAGGGCAGGGGGCCCGGCCCAGCCTGCAACGTCCAGCAAAGCTGTGTGCTGGACAAGAATCTCTGAAGATGAGTCCAGGTCAAGGACACCTGTGCCTGGGCAGGGAGTGAGGGAAATGCCCAGGGGCAGGAGGCCTAAGGACCTTTAACTAGGTGGGATGCCAGGTCAGCACGTGCAGAAGAGAAGGTGACATGGCAGCAAGTGTCTGAGGCCAGGCTATAAACCTAGGGACCACCTTGTCTAGCCTAAACCATGCTGCTGCCCAGTCACCATCCTTCAAACGCCAGAGGCAGGGCTGGGAGGGCCCCCAGACTCCTCTTCCCTCCCGCCCTAAGCTGGTTCTCATCCCTCACCACAAGGAAAGTGAAGCCTTCTATGGGTCACAGACTGCCAGGTTCTCTGTCACCTGGTGGAAGGGGCCGGGGAAGCTGCAGCTGGGTGAGGAAGAACCCAGGTACCACAGCTAGAAGGGCTTTGGGAAAGCCTTGAACAGGGCCAGGACCTGAGCTCTGCCTGGCTATGGTGACTCTGGGCCAGGCAACCCTACGATAGTCTCAGTCTCTCACTCTGTCTCACGGGGGATGTCGGCATTATTACCTTTGGAGTCAAAGTAGGTAATCCAGGGAAACCAGAGTTTGCAGTGTGAAGCCTGGACAGCTGAGGCCCTTGCCCTTCAGGTTACAGGCATCTGGGTCCTTGTCTAGATCCTCATATGCCATCCAGAGACCCAACCCTAGGGACAATTCCTCCCAGCTGGTAGCAGTGAGTCAATCCTCGTACTCACCCCACTAAAAGCTCTGAAATGAGGAGGCCTGCAGGTGAGGGTAAGACTCTGTAGGAAAAGGTTCTCAGTGGCAAGGAAGGTTTGAGCTGGGCCTTAGGGTAGCCAAAGGGGTAGGGGACAGGCCCCCTCACAAAGCATGCCAGGGAACACAGGAGGGCTACATTTATAGTGGTGGAATGTTTTGGGAGACGGCAGACAGCCTCCCACTCACTGATGGGGCTGAGTGAGGTAATGTCCACATGCCAGATGCTGGGTTCCACACACGGGTACACTTTGTTTCTTGTTTTAGAGACAGGGTGTTGCTCTGGTGCCCGGGCTGGAGTGCAGTGGTGCAATCATAGCTCTCCGCAGCCTTGACCTCCTGGGTTCATGCGGTCCTCCCACTTCACCCTCCTGAGTAGCTGGGACTACAGGCGCATGCCACCATGCCTAGTTTTATTTTTTGTAGAGACAGGGTCTTGCTATGTTGTGCAGCCTGGTCTCAAGCGATCTTTCCACCTCAGCCTCCCAAAATACGGGGATACAGGGACAAGCCAGCGCTCCTGGTTCTGCTGCTGCATTTTGGCTGCCTTGGTGCACAGGAGGCATGAGCTGGCGTGCAGAATCTGCTCCTGGACCTTCCCGGGCCTGCCCCCAGACTGACCCCTGGGCTGCAGGAGGCAGGTGTGGAGAGAATGCAGCAAGCAGAGCTGGCTAGCCAGTGATGGAGACCCAGGCTGGGACTAGTAGACGGGGCTCCAACCCTCAGCCTAGTGGCCCTGCCAACCCATTGAAAGAAAGAAATAAATGACCTAGTCTCAGGTATTCCTCTGGAGCAACGCAAAACAGACTGATACAGCCTCCACGCTTGGTGTCCACTGGACCTGACCACTCGGGGAAGGGCTGTTCCTGACTCTGCCATTAACATACAGACTACAACAGAGTTGTTCCCCTGCTCTGCCTCAGTTTACCTCTCTCAGCTGAGCAGAGTAGGGATAATTGCTTCTCATGTGGGCCACAGGACAAAACAAAGCCCTGAGTCCCACAGGAATGTAGGTGGGCCATGTCCAAGGGAAGACAGTCCTGGGAAGTATTTTATGTCCTCGGGGTGGCAGAGGGACATAGAGAAGATGCCTCCTTTGTGGGCAAAGGAGAAGGGAAGATAAGCAGAGAGGCGTTGGACACGTGCCTCACCCTGACCTCCCCCACCCCACACCAGGCCCATTCCCATATAGC